AACCTTACACTTAAAAAAAACTCCAAGTTTATAAGTTTATTTGGCGTCGCTTTAATTTCCAACGAAGTTGCACTGTTCACTCGCATTGCTAAAAGCAACAACTTTTTAAAACGAATATCCATTGACGTCCAATCACAATTGTACAGTCCAAAATTTATACCGTCTCTCTATATCCAAATAATCTTACAATTAATTTTATTTATGCGATATTTTAAGATTATTTTTTAATTACTTTTTTGTTTAAAAAGTCAAACATATAAGTCATACATATATATCATGAATAATTGTATGCCAACATAGGTAAAACAGAATTAATTGTAATAATTTAACACAATCGACTTATTCACAGTTGTTACAGATATATAGTCTGGATTAACTAAAACTCTATCAACAGTAATTTACATCTCGTCACAAATATTAAGTTTTCTATTGTAATTGTTAGCTTTCAATTTGTATGCTTTAAATTTTAATAATACAATTCATATAATATTATGAACCACTTTTTCATGTTTATATCATAAACCAAGTATTTCACCTAATCTGTTGATCAAACTATTGAAGAAACAAGGGTTAAAAATAAAAATATAGTATGAGTTAATTATATACAATTACACATGAACATATTTTATTTTTCATTACAATACAAATCCATTTACTTACTTTTTGTGTCTCTGTCATGTCCCAACGTCTCTAAAGCTAATGTTATAGTTTCGTATTGTGTGGCTATTGCTCCGCATAATGAGAAATATAGCCAATCAAATTGAATAGCGAAGTATCCGATAAAAATACTGAACACTACTTAATTTATATAAAGAAAGCCAAAGTATTTCTTGTACGAATTTTCAAGAAGGGGATAGTAGAAATATGTTATAAATATACTTGTAGAGTAAGTTAAATCTTCAGTAGACATTAAAAAGTTAGATAGTATAGGAACACCTATCTAAGTTATGTAGGCTAGTCCCAAACTATACAGGTAAGAATTCCAAAACATTTTATTTAACTTTAAAAAACTGTCCACTTTGAAATGACATAGACCACAAACCAAAAAATCAATACCTGTTACGTTCAATAACTTTAATATTCGGTTAGCATTTCGGAATAACGTTATACATTTGAATATAGCAAGGAAATAATTAGTGTAAATCACTACTATTTTACCAACTCTCCCACTATCAATGTCACCATAGTAGATACTATATAGAAGTCCAAAAACACTATACACTAATATTAGACTGTGTACAAGAATAATACAAAAAATATTATTTTTTTTCTCAATATCATATGGAATACTTTTAAGAGGAAACTATTGATATCTAGCCTTTTGTCAACATCATTCAAATCACTCATACTGTTATTTTATCGATCACCTGAAACCAAACATTTTTTCAATTTATAAATACTCATTATAATAAACAATTATCGTAGCATGTATTTATGATGGAGTGCATCGTCTGAAACATGATATAAACATACAAGAAAAATGTTGTGGCACCGCTCTAATTATATGAATAGAGATACACAACACAGATATTATTCATTTTGTATTTTTATTTGTACTTGTAGTCTATAATCTAAAGATTTATGGGAAAAATTTAGAAATCGAAAATATCAATTTTATAGAAGATATTGTAAATATTAATTCGTCGTGGGAAACTAGGTGTAAAAAAAAACCGAAATTGTCTTATTTATGTCAACGAACCTGTTTAGAGATGTGCTTATAATGTCTTTAAATGTTGATATATACGTTTTTGAGAATTATAAGTTGTTAGATAGCCATAAAAGTCCACATTAAGAGAACGTTGCTTGTGAACCGTTGCTTAAGAACAACTGAAACCTGAAATGACACAGGTATCACTCAAGGGTACGACTGCACGAAATAAATATACGTATACATTTGAAATGTTCTATATTATATTTAATTATATGTCACTTTGCTGTAAAGGTTTCATATGAACTTATTATTCAATAATTCAATACAAGGAAACAATGGTATACTTGCACGATGTACGATTGAAGAAATACGAGGAAATATCGGTTAGGTCTCGTATAAATATTTCCGATGAAGCATCCTTGGAATATTAAGTTTGATATATTTAATTTTCAAAAAGTTAAAGGTGACATTAAAGTTCTTAGAAGCTGATTGCAGTGTCCCATTTGTGAAATGAAAAATGTAATGTGGGTCAAGTTGGCACCGAAACATAATGCTAGGACTATAAAAGTTTATTTTAGTAATAAAATTCTAAAAATACGAAAAATAAACTGAGATATCCATTTTGTAGCTGAAAGAGAGACACATATGATATACGCATATCATAAGCGTATAGAGGATAAATGATAATTTACCATTTAAACTTCATATAAGAAATACTTCACTAAAGAAAGTAAGGTAACACCTTTAAAATGAAATAAAAACAAACGCATTAGTTGATACTATGTACAATGACGATATATAATATATATGATAGGACAATAGTATATTACAAGGTACAATCGCCCATACATAAAGTGATAGTTTGAATTTTGATCTTTTTTCGTTTATCTTCCAGTACTTTTTAGTGCACTATATCTTTCTGCCTGGTGGAATCTAATACAGCACTCGGTAGTCAGCAGCGGACGCTGCGTTATCATGATAACGGTAAACGGTGAGAAAACGATTTTTTGTAGTTTCGTTTTACTTATATAAATGTATAATTATTATTAATTACGTATTTGTTATTAATTTGTATACATGATATTTATTGATTGTTCAATATAATATCGTGTAAATAACGTGGGCGGGAAATCTTATTGGCTGTAATGCTTCCAAGTATAATATTTAGTATTTACGATGTTTGTTTACATAACTTGTGATGTAAACACAAGATATTGATGTTTGTTATACTGTATAATGTTATACAGTATAACATTTAGTATATTATTATTCTCATTATGTACGGCTCTGCTAAAAGGAAAATAGTTTACTGATAACCACAGATTGTGTTATTTTAGGCTATGACAATACAGGGTGATCCTTTTATCATGAGCCACTTAATATCTCTAACATATAGGGTTTAATAAGAAATTACAATTTTTTTTTTCATATTGTTTTTATATAATGTAATCTCAATTTTTTTTGTTTTTACCCCCCCTCCCAACTTAGTTTTATCGATATAAACTTTTGAAACTTAAATAATAACGCATATATTTCATTAGCTAATTTTTTTTAATTGGGAATAATGTACTAAAATATTTGACTGGTTTATAACTATAACTATATACTTAGTTATAGAGTTCCAAATTTATCCTAAATAGGCAGGGTAAGTGCGGTTGGAAAGTGCGCGCAGATAAAAATAATACTACACTTCACCTTTCCTCCTACCCTAAATTTCAATAACTTTAAAAATGGTTATCCAAAACTGGTTATCGACCAGTCAAAACGTTTAGTACATTATTCTCAGTTTAATAAGCTAATGAAATGTATGCGTTACTATTTAAGTTTCAAAAGTTGCTATTGAAAAGGCTAAGTAGGAAAGTGGGTAAAAACAAATTGAGATCACATTATATAAAAACCACAAGAAAATAAAAAATTGTAATAAATCCTATAAATCCTATGAGGTATCGAGTGACCCATGACAAAAGAATCACCCTGTATAGAAATTATAATATGTGCTCTTATAGGCTACGTAATTTCAGGTAGCTAAAATAAAACTGTGCTTTCGGACACAAGTACAAATGTACAAGTACAAGTGGGGCATTTACAAGATGAAAAGGCCAACGTTGATGCTTCGCGTTCCGGATCTCATAACTAAGGTACTCATCAAGGATTTCTCGCATTTCACCGACCGCGGTATGGCTGTGGACATCGACGCTACTCCTCTGTCAAACCATGTGTTCGCGACGAAAGAACAGAAATGGAAAATCATGAGAAGCAAATTGAGCCCAATTTTCACATCTTCCCAGCTGAAAAACATGCATGATCAGATAAAAGAATGTATTGACCAATTGATGAAAAATTTGGCAATGAACTTAATTCAATCGGACGTGTTAGAAGTGCGCGACATCATGGGCGATTATTCCACGGTCGTAATCGGTACTTGCGCTTTCGGTCTGCAGTTGAACGCCATCGTTGATAAAGACTCACCTTTCCGGAAAGCCGGACATGCCGTGTTCGCGTCGACATACAGATTTGTCATTGGAGATATACTCACGTATATTTCACCGTCACTTAGGAAAATGTTGAAAATTAGCGACTTTCCTCCAGCGGCGTCAGACTTTTTCAAATCTTCGTTTAACCAAACGATGGACTACCGAACAAAAAACAATATCGTGAGAAACGACCTAGTGCAGGCTTTGATGCAGGCTAGACAAGATTTAATCGTCAACAAACTGACACCATCAGGTAATCGTTGAGTTTTAGATTTAAAGCTAATATTTTATTTTCCTCGTCGCTAGTTTCGTAATAAATATTATAATAGTGTGAATTAAGTGTGGGCAGGCTCAGCTCAAACGTTTGAACACACCTAGACAAACTCAAGTTTTTCGCCCCCTAATTATTTACAAGCGAAATATTTTTTACATCCATTACTTGTTTATACAAAAAAAAAATAATAAACAAATTCTGTGTCCATTATATTTTTTGATAAATAGTGAGCAATTGGTTAGATGTTTAGTGTCTGTACTTTATATTAACTACTAGTAGACTTCATACGTAAAAACACAATTATAATAGTTGCAATAAAAACAAAACAACAAAGAAAAAAAATATTAAAAATTAACTTTTAGTGCTATTGCGTATGTAAAATCAGATGTAACTTCATGCAGGTCCAAAGTAATTCTCAGTTTCTTCTCGATTGAAATCATTGCAAGGTCCACTAAACGATCTAGTGACATTTGGGAATTATTTAAAATGCCGCCTTAGGTGTGTGCCTATGTCGCCTGTTTGAGTCGAACCTGAGTGTTGGCACCATTGTACTGCACACTTGGTTAACTAAAAACTAAAGGTTTGTACACACAAAAACTAAACTTCTTAGATAATAATAATTTAGAGAAGTAATAACATACATTTTAGACATATTCATAACCGTTTAGTTTAATATTATTATTATACTTAAAAATAATAATATTATTTTTTTTTATTTTAAGAGGCTTCAACATCTGAGGTTATAAGCCTTGTGTGCATGTTTTGTGTAAGTTACATTAATAATTAAATATCAAAGGTTACAATATTTTCTTTAAATAAGAGTAATGAAATACAAAAGTGTTGGTTAGAGATTGTTTACAATGTTAATTTTTGTAAGGAAATTTAAAATTTTTTTGGTGTTGTCTTCATGGAGAGCTTCTTCTAAGTTGTTGGGTATTGATAGAGTACTTCGGATGTTTTGTAAGTCTGGGCAGTCTAGGATGATGTGTTGGATGGTTAGGTCTTCTTGGCATTTATTACATATGGGTGGTGGATCTTCGCTGATTAAGAAAGAATGTGTCAAAAAGGAATGTCCGATTCTCACTCGGGTTAGAGTGACTTCTTGTCGTCTGTTTAAATTGTGAAGATGAGGCCACTTTTTAGTGCATCTTTTGATTTTTTTTAATTTGTTGGAAGGCGGAACGGAATCCCAGTAGCTTTGCCATGTCGTATTTATTTTATTCCTAATAGATTTATTTATGTCTTTAGCCGGTATGTCAGTGATTGTTGGATGCGGGATGGTTTTAGTCGCTATGTCTGCTGACAATAATATTATTGTATTATACTAATTTGATATATTATTTAACTTACTATACAAAAAAATAAATTTTCTTAACAAAAGTATCAAACTATAATATGCAATAAAATAATTTTTCGAATTATTTGATTCATCATTACTTAAAAAACATACTTCTATTAACCGACATAAGATATAATAAAGCCAACAAAATAAACCATATTCCTTCCAAATTAGTTAAAATATAATAACACTACATCTAATTCGGCTTTTTTGAAAAATTATCTTATTTTTACACATAATTATTTCAATTATTTTGATTACTGTGGTCGTTTTTCCGTCTTTTCTATATAATTTAACCTCTTTTTTTAAACTTTATATTAATTTCTGGCTTAACTTTTTAAAGAATCCTTAATTTTAATAATACTAAATGTAAAATTACAATACATTTACAAGTAGATAAACTTACAGGACCGCTTTTGATAAGTTATTTATGAGAATTGTATAAATAAACCTATTATTGATGTTGTTTCAGTGAACAACAGAGAAACGGATATAGCAGCAAACGCTTTTCTCATGTTTCTTGCTGGGTTTGAAGCGGTTTCAACTACCATGAGCTACTGTTTATATGAGCTAACTCTGAAAAAACACATTCAAGACCGCGTTCGGGATGAAATTTTGACCGCAAAATCTAAATATAACGGCGAGTTCAATAACGAGTTCTTAACAGAACTTACATATTTCGAAATAATCATATCAGGTCAGTGACATTGCAACTAAGATTACTCAAGATCTTTTAAAAAGTAAAATAAACTAATTTATTAATATACATTTTTTTTTATAGAAACTCTACGTATGTATCCACCTTTATCAGTAATTGGCAGAGAAGCTACAGAGTCCTACAAAGTTCCTGGAGAAGATTTGGTCATAGAAAAGGGTACGAAAATTGCTATACCGGCATACAGTCTACACATGGATCCAATGTATTACCCGGATCCGATTACCTTCAATCCGGAACGTTTTACACCCGAAGAAAAAGCCAAAAGGCCAAGTGGTGTTTACATGCCTTTCGGAGAAGGGCCCCGTATATGCTTAGGTAATAATTTTAACAGTTCATAGTTCTTATCAGATAGCAAAGTAGAACAAATAAAATATACATTATTTAACTATGTTTTACCCAATAATGTTCTTTTTAATATTTTTAGGAAAGCGTTTTGGCGAAATGGAGATGAAATTGGCACTTTCTAAATTATTAATAAAGTACCAAGTAGAGCCTTGTGAAAAAACTGATATTCCCATAAAACCAAAGAAGCTGTCTTTTAATACTATTCCCGAAAACGGAATATGGTTGAGATTTAAGCGTATCGAATCTTAGCTAATTTTTGTTATGAAACAGTTTTATATTTTATGATAAATTAATACATTTTCTATTGTCTTAAATTAATAGCTATTGATTCATTGTAGTATGGGTCTTTATATCTGAACTATGCTGTTGTATAGCGGAGATGATAATGCTAAGACGAATGAGTGGAGTGACTAGGGAGGATAGCATAAGAAATGAATCCATGTAGGAAGTCTAGGGGTTGCATCAATTGTAGGAAAAATGAGTGATAGGTTGAGATGTTCGATCATGTTATGAGAATAGATGAAGCAGAGGAAGTGAGAGGTAAGGAAGGTGAGTTCCATTGTGAATATGAATATAGAGG